TGAAGTTCATAAAAAAAAGTTTCAAACACTCTGTCAAACCCAACAGTTTCTTCCTTCACCAGAACTGTACTATTTTCGCCAAAAAATTATATATAATATAAAACTGTTTTTAATAGGTTTTTGAGTCTTATTTTCCGAGACTACACACACATATACACTCTCTTATTGCATAAATATTTTTAAAATACAGTGAAGGCATTCATAAATGGCATATATGGGCAAAATAGGACTGAATTGTGTATAGACTGCAAATTCTGTAGTGAAGAACCCATTTGTGGAATACAGTGACAATTGTTCAGCGATTGTCAAACAATTTCTAGTTTTGTACGCGATTTCTGAAACAATAGTGTATTTCTTATATAACTATTTGTGAGTATTAGTGAGTGAGTGGAAGCGTATCCAAGCCTTCAAAGACTTCAATACCTGGTATTGCCTTCAATTCATACAATTCTTGCGACAGACAGTCTGCCAACGCTTTGAAAGCAATAATTATTTGCAAAAAAAGTATAGTTTCCTCGCATTCAATACATCAACACTTTATGCCTACTCTTACTTCTGGTTATGGATTATATGATATGATATGCAACACATGAAACTACTATTCAATCATTGATTTGATATAAAAATATTGTTCACAAGAATGGACTCCAAAACAGAAATTCTTTGAGCGAACAAAAGAAGGGAAAAGATTTTCGTATCAATTATTATAATTTTGTTATCAGACATAGGATTTCTTATTTTTTATGCCTCTTTTATTTTTATTTTCAATCATAACTTGTGTATTAAATCATAGATTTTGAGAAAAGATTCACTACTTTTTCGATGCAAAGAATATATGCCTAACCTCTGCCTCTCATGCCTTCTAAGGCAACAGTCATATAATAAAAACAATTCACAGAGCGTTGAAATATTTGTGTTGTCTATAGGATTATAGTGAGAGAGAGAGAGAGAGAGAGCGATGATTGTTGTGAATATGAGAGGTGAGGTATACCTGTAATAGTGAATTGTGTGTTGGCGTAGAATTGCATGTATTGCACGCTTACTTAAACATTATATTAACTCATGTTTTCAGTGTTTGTGTGAATTTCTATCACTAATTCCTGCTATGCTTCGCGATTCGCAGTATTTTGTACACAAAAATTAAAATAAATGTAAAAATTAGTGAAATTGTGTTTACCTTATTATGTGTCATACGATGATAATAGAGGTTAGAGCTGGCAGTAAATCGTTTGCCACAAATAGGACCTAAACATACATTTAAAAACAATTGTTTTAGCGTTCATTAAAACATTAAATAAATTTAATTACAGTATATGTTTGTTTAAGAAAGAAAATGAAAATGTTTTATTCATTAAAATGTAGCTATACTGTTGCTGTACAGGTGTCCATACATGCACAGGTATGCACACAATTGAATGACTTATGGGGATAGGAGTGCGGGTATTGTGTGACAAGTTGTGTCACTTGTTGTATAGGAACCAGTGATGCGTTCACACAATTGTGTCTATTATTATATTTGAAGGCATTGTTTGCGTTTAGATATGAAAGTAATATAATTTTGATGTAATTTCAAAGATCTCAGATGAGTATGACTTGTGAGGGGCTGACATGAAAAGCAGGTAAGACTTACACTGATGTGGTTTCTCTCCGCTATGGATGCGTCGGTGAGTGTTTAATGAGCTGGAAGTGCTGAAACCCTTACCACAGACATCGCAAACGTGAGGCTAATCACAAAAAAGCGCAACTTTAGTACAAATACCAATACATACATACATTAATGCAATCGTGAAAATAAGTGCCAATTAATGCTACACTTAATGCATTAATTACTAATTAATCTACATTTTAATTCTTAACGATTAGAGGCTCGATAGGCATACCTTTTCGCCGGTATGCGTTCGCAGGTGTCTGCGCAAAAGGGACGGCCTATCAAATGCTTTGCCGCAGTACTCGCAGGGCAGCATGGTCCTCTCACGGGGCTTCTTCACTATCACTGCCCCGACACCCGCTTTGCTCATGGGTTCGGGCGATACGGCTATTTTGGTGAAGTTGACGGCCAGGTCGTCGCGGTTGTGGCCGTTCTGTTGGCTCGCAATGAGCTTTGATTTCAAGCTATTGATCTTATTGTGGAGTATGGAGTTGGAGGGCGAGAGGCCCGCCAATGGCGATGACTTAGACTTCGCCGACAGATCCAGCGTTAGCGATGCCATCGACGGCTTTTGGTTCTCGTTTTGCGATGAGTTTGATAGGGATGACGATGAGGACAGGGATGAGGCGGATGATGGAGAGGCGACCAACGACATGGACAGATCAAGTGGACTGTCTGTTAGGGCAAATACACGGCTTATGATATTGTAGTGGATTTTCACAAATTTCATTCATCAATTTCAGTTTTGTCTCGATTGAGGTTTATTTATATTTTTGCAAATTCCCTATTTTCTTGTAAATGTCTAAGTCTTTAAGACTAATTAATTACATCGTCTCGACTGCAAACAGTTAGTTAATTTCAGGACTTAAGCATATTAATCAATTTTAATCTTATTTCCAGCGCTCAATAAGACTATAAAAATATAAATATATATAGATTTATAAATCGATTGCATTGCATGTGAATCACGACATCTTAAGTCTGACTTATATTTCAATAAATATTAGCGAAAAAGAGTATCAATTCTACGATTAAAGTACCAAAAAGAGTGTAGAGAAGCAAACAAACAAAAATCATACCAAATGCTAACAACTCCTGAGATATGATAGCATTAAAAACGAGAAACAATTTTTCATAAAAGTTTAAAATTGAATTAAATTCTAGCGCTAATCACAAATTAAACTGAATGTGTTTGTAATGTGTAATATTTGGTGTCATTAATGCTTACCCTGGAGTGTCTGTCGGCATATAAACTGCTGATGATGTGAACGCATTAATGGTGTCGATGCTAAGAGGGATGGGAATGGGATGGTGTGGCCGCTGAGGCTTAAGGTGTCGCCGAGTTTCTTGCAGTCATAGTAGACCACGATCTCAGTGTTGGGCAAAATGTTTTGAATGCATTCGTAGAGGACTTCGCCGCGGATGATGCGGCCAATGATGTTCACCCCATCGGTCAGTTGGGATACATGGCTCACGAATCGGATCCAATTGCAGTGTCGCACCCGTTGGCCGTCCACTTCCTGGATCTCGTCGAAGCACCCAAACCGGTGTCGCACCTGTCCATCAAATGTCAAAATATGAGTTTATTTCTACAGACAATTGCGGTTTATATGAGACTTTTGTGTGCAATATATCTGATATTTTAATGACAAAACAAAAGCAAAAATATTTCGCGATTTAAAGCCGTATTATAATGCAAAGTATATTATCGTTTTTTGAATCATTTAATTCTCATTATTTATAATTTCAATAAGTTTTTCAACAAAAATGCAATACAATCGGCGCTTATGGGTTAAGGTTAGCATACAGTACATGTAGTATTTTGTATATTAAATAAATTAAATAACTTTTGAGTTACATTTAGACCTTATCTGCAATTAAGTTAAACTCTTTTTTGTATTAAGTTTCTTGACTTTGACTTTTTATTTTTCAGCCAAAAAACTTTAAATCTCTTATATTTATTCAGTAACTCTAATGTGTTTAACATAATGTAGTGCACAGTACTGTCCGTCGATTTCAAGTCATTAAAAACTTGATAAAAGACCGAAAAATTAACAAAATTAACAAAAACTACTTTAAATAAAAATCAAAAACACTATCACATGAGTACATTATATCCTTATTCACAAATACCTGAAGACTATATCTGAAGTAATGAGAGATAATGAATAAAGAGAAGACAAATTTCTTATTTTTCTTAAATACTCAGCCATTAGACATCATTAAGCTCTTAGGCTCTAGGATTCGGATGCTATTAGACGGTAATGTTTTGGTTGTAGATATGTTTTTCAGATAAATTAAGAGAAGACAAATTTCTTATTTTTCTTAAATACTCAGCCATTAGACATCATTAAGCTCTTAGGCTCTAGGATTCGGGTGCTATTAGACGGTAATGTTTTGGTTGTAGATATGTTTTTCAGATAAATTTAATTTTTTATATTTTTCGCCGGTTTAAGAAATATTGCCTCTAATTTCGGAAAATACTATTAAAAGCTTTAATTTTATCGCAAATAATATTTTTCAATTGACTTGAAAGACGAGTAGGCGTTTTGTACAATCTCTCTCTCTCTCTCTCTAGAGAAGACAAATTTCTTATTTTTCTTAAATACTCAGCCATTAGACATCATTAAGCTCTTAGGCTCTAGGATTCGGATGCTATTAGACGGTAATGTTTTGGTTGTAGATATGTTTTTCAGATAAATTACTCTGGTTTCGCTTCATTTTTTCGTTCAATCGGTTCTCTCTCTCTCTCTCTCTCTCTCTCTCTCTCTCTACGATATATTGCATAAAATTAAAGACAGTTTTTTAGTTTTGTCGCTTAAACTTCATTACTTTACGCAAAATTGTATACAGAGTATTTTAGTATTACAATAAATTAAAGCATTTTTGGTGAAAATTAAAAGTTATTTTATGAGAAAATTGTTCTGATAATAATTGGTTTCAAAAAAATAAATTGATTGAAAAAGATTGAGAGACATTACGGGCAATGAAGTAAAAGTCAATGTTTTTTGCTTTAAAAACATAAGTGAGTTATTCCGACAGTGCTATCAATCCAATGATATAACGTTAATATTTAGTAATGATTCAGTTAAGGTAAATAACTTAGTTTTCTGTTCATTTGAACAAAAAAAAAGCAAAATAATTTATTTTTGGTTCGCTTCTTATATTTGACTGATATATGAGAGAAATATACAAATATTAAGGACTTGTTATAAAAACGTCTCATTTAAAAGACGAGAAGTAAATCAAATCGCAATTAAAAGTTAGAGAGAAGACCCTCTCGGGAGAGAGAGAGAGAGAGAGAGAGAGAGAGAACCGATTGAACGAAAAAATGAAGCGAAACCAGAGATCACTGAATAGATCTGTTAACTAAAACGATGGGTAAAAGGAAATAAATTTATTTTGCTTTAAATTATATATAAATTTTCTAATAAAATGTATATACTGCACAGGCACAATATATATTTGAATTTGACGTTTAGTTTATAGGAAAGTAATTGATAAACAATTTGTAATTTGCATAACTTATATATAACTTATAATCTGTGCCTAAGTTATGCTCCCGTTTTCATAAATACATTCACTGTTGCATTGAACAGATGAATGGGAGTCTAAATTGAGTCCTAATCAATACACCGGCTCTTCAGTCAGTGGTTGTTCACTACAATGGGTATAACGAATGGCCACTTCATAAATAACTTAAATGAATGCACCGATACTTCTTGAGAGAGAGAGAGAGAGAGAGAGAGATTGCAATTTAAATCTCTCTCTCTCTCTCTCCTATGGAAGCTCCACAACGCATACATACATACATACAGTGTGTATATATTGACTAATTTATTATTATTTAGGAGGTTATCATACGAGCGAAACAAAACAAAAAGTCTTGTCTGCCTCAGAGGGCTCTCTAACCAGAGAATAATATATAGAATATAATATATTATACATAATAATATCAATTGCTTTTTGAGAACTTATTTGCGCTGAGAATAGGAAAAAATGAGATCATATAAGGGATTATTTTATATATGTTCTCAATTTTGCTGTTATATTGTGCTCACAAAAGGCTTATAAAAATATTGAGATAACATTTTTTGTTGATTTGATTGCTTGTTGTGATATTCATATTATTATTTCATATTATAGTTGTTTAGAAGGTTTGAAGCGTTTTGTTTGCATTATATCATAGGAAAGAGTATAAAAGTTTGTCTTTAAAAATAATAATTTTAAACTAATTTTCCATTGAGCCTAACGGCCAATAAATTAAATAACAATCAATAGTTTGCTTTTTAAACATAACTACTACTGGAAGTATAGTTGATGTGAAGTATAAGTGAATGAAGTAATTATAATAATATATAATAATCTCTCGATATTTACACATAAGGTATTGCTCAACAAAAAACACCCCAAGAATTAGTAGCAAATTGTTGTTATCTGAAGATTATTTCAACAGCAGTTGGGTTTCATAGAAATACAGTATAGTATATAGATATATCTATTATAATATCTTAATCTCAATAACTATTTGCACCAATTGTTTAGTCGTGAATGGAAAGCACCGCAAAGTTTGTTGGCTAATAAATTTAATACTCAAATACACGACTAATCTATTCGTACAGTAAATATCCATACAATGCATTGCAGGAGTATATGAGTGCACACCAGAGATCTATAACAAAGATTTTTTTCATTCGCTAAACAATCAGTTTGTTTGAGAAAAAACGAGACAATTAATCATTTCACTCCTATTTTCTACCTGTGCTCTAATGGTCTATGAGGGCTACCGGTTCACGATCCCAATGACATTCTATTTCAGGCGAAGTAATTATTGGTATAATTTTCTATAACTCAAGACTGAGTTATAAAAACCACAGGAGTTTTAAAATATATATTCTTGCAAACACTGTGTATGTAAGTGAACGAAAAAATATTGCAAAATAGGAGAGAGAGAGAGAGAGAGGTAAGCAAAAAATATGACGTTTCTGTTTGGGATCATTGGCTGTACTGACAGGTAAACGAAAGGCACTAAAAATAATGCACTGAAAATCATAATGTATTTAATATGGCTTTACTGTTAGAAAGTTTTTTTTCTATTAGTCGTACAAAGTCTATACGACTTTCCACTGAATGCGACCAAAAAATATCATTCAAAAAATATAAAGAACAGAGAGTCAGGTATTCCTTCTAATAGGACAACCATTCAGTGATTTAATGATTTTTTGCTCTTCATTTAAAGTTGTTGTTGTTTTTTGTGTTTTATTTTTCATACTTATTATTACTATCATTAATAGCGGGCTATGAATAGGAGCGCACCGGGAGTATAGCTACTCCTTAGTGTTCCACTAACTCCAAGACAATGATGATTTTGGTCAGATAGTCACTGGATGTGTATGTGTGCGGACACGCCTTCACATTTGATTATACCGTTGAGAGCGTATGGAGTGTATGAGTGCTCCACATCTCTCTCTATATATATACAGTATATATGAAAATCATATACAAAGACACAGTTCTTTGCCACACATTATATCTCTTGTGAACCCAAAGCCAGACTTGAATTTAAAGAATAAGTTTCCATAAAATTAAGTCCAAAAGAAAAATCTGATGCATCGGTGCGGACCAGTTCTGTCTCACAATTCTCTCACACATACTGTATGTATATATAGAGATATATATGAGGTATATATGTATATACCTGTGAGATGCAGATGCCTTAAGAGATGCCTTTTTAATATCAAACTCAGTGCTCAGGCCGCGCCCATATATCCATGCCTTGTGTGTGCTGTTCAGGTGATGTACGTCTTGTCTTGAGATACCGTTTATACATATTATACATATTGTCGATACCATCTAATTATAGGCGTTCTCTCTTCCATAACCCAGAGCTATGCCACTGGTTATGCAATGTATATCCAGAGCACAGACACACACTCTAAATGCAATGCAACTGCAAAGAAATCACTACTTTTTATAACGTATAATATATGACCAAATAAATGGTTGGCCCATCTCTTCGCTCTCTTTTCTTTATTTATACACATTTCGATCAACTTTTTTGTTGTCTTATTCCCAAAAATGAGATATGCCTTCAAGAGAGCCAAGAGAGCCAACACAGCTCTCTCTCTCTCTCTCTCTCTCCCTAATAAATGAGTCGGTCGTGCAGTCCCTATAACTCTTAACTAATATTAAACTGCTCTCAACTCCACCTGACATTCTCTCTATACTGGCAATACCTGTGAACTTTACTCCCTGTGCTCTCACTCACTCTTCACTAGCTTTTCTCATCTCTCCGGTGCCTGTGATTGCATTGCGAGCCAAAGTGAAGCACCGGTGCTCTGGTCTGCCCTTTCCGATAATGTGAGAGACGGCTATCATTGCACTCCGACGATAGCTATAGATAAGGCGAGCAATGAATGCGTTTGTTTGATGCCATTTGACACGCGATTTAATGTATGCCTCCGTAACCGAGAAATCATATACCAGTTGAATACTGTCTCAAAATTAGTTTTTCGCCTCAATTTTATAGACATGTAATGAAAATTTTTCTCTTTTTCTTATTCATTATTATTAATCTCTTATATAATATTATTTATTTTTCATTTCAGTCCTAAAGATCATTAAAACAACTCTTTTATTTTGTTTTCTTATTATTTTCTCATTTAATTTTTCACAAAGTTTTGGAGCGATTTTAGAAAATTCTCATTATTTCTCACTTCACTATCTATTGAATTACATGACACTCTAAATGAAACATAGTTTTCCTCCCGTTCCACAAATTTACGATCCTTTACAGCGATTTTTGCAATCCTTTTCCAATCGCGAGAAGCCTTTTCGCTCAAAAAATATTAATTTTTTCCAATAATTCTTGTTTTTTATTCACTTGTGTTTCTCAACACATATTAATGTCTTTAATGTCTTTTGGCACTTGTATTACAGAATAAATGAGTGGAAAAATAATAATAATTGCAAATAAAAACATTTTTCGACCGATTTGTCTATTGGATTGAAATGATTTTGTGTTTTGCCTCTGATTTGTGTTCACTGTTTAAGAAATTCTCACTTAATTAGTCCAATAAATCATATATGGCTATAGAGGCTATGTATGTGTGCTCTATGTGTCAAATGTATTGAATTATTATTTTATCAAATATACGATTGGCTGCTCAGAGGGCTGACTCGCGATTAACATAATTGTTTGCATTTTTCATCATAATTATTAAATTGTATTTTATTTTCATATATACAGTATTAATATATTGTTAAGTAGCCTCTACTGTATAATAAGCCATAGGAATGACCCAAACAATTATAATACTAGCTTCTGATAAATAGTGCTTTTGTTTCGTAATAATAATAACAGCACTTAAATTATGCTAAAGTTTTTTATGTTATATTTTTTCATTAAAATTGTTAATAACGAGAAGTGTTTTGCATTTCTATACAATAAAGATAAAGATAGAGCAGAGAGAATGAGTGCTTAAAAAGTAATGATCACTACTTTGTTAAGCTAATGAAATGTTTCCATTGTTAATGCAATACCTGTGCTCTCATGTTAACTATATGGGCCCATACGGTAGAGAGGCTCAGCTCACTAACTAACCTAAACTCCGAGATTATTCAAAAATATAAGAAAAAGAAAAATATTTCCTCTTTTGTTGTGCACTCATAATGAACACAAAGTGTCAGAAAAAATATGATTTATCGCCAAATGAATTATTGAATTATTAATAATTATTCTCTCTTTCTCTCTCTCTCTCTCCCTCTCCCCTCGCTATTTAAGATTATAGTGTGATATATGACATAACGTGAGGTATCTTATTATGCGCTGACATTGAAAATGATTTTAAACACTGAAAAATAAAACTCTACTCAATGACTGCATATACGCTATCATTTAGTGAACAATTTTTTTCTCGTTTCTTTTGTCAGTGTTTTTTAATTAAGTCAATGCATGACTTGAAAGGCCTTCCACTCAATCGAAATGCGAGAAAATGTGAGAGAAAATCATTGTATTCTCTGTCGAGACAACACATGCAAAACAAATTGATATCAATTTCTAATTGAATGCACTCTTTCTACTGTATTGTATACAACATTGGCAAAGAATTTCTCAATTTAAATGCATTTAAATGTATATTCAGTGTTAAAGTCACTGAGTTTACGATTATTAATGATGTGATAGTTGGGCTTGAATTTAATTTTTGTAACATTTATGAGATTACAGTATATTTGAGTGTATTTTAGACGAAAAGGTGCTGTAATTCATCGAGTGATGGGTAGAGCACTGTATGGGATGAGGCACTTGTCTGGTGTGCACACTGAGAGTCAGGTGCGGGACTCTATCCCTCAATCACTCTCACATAGTGTTCATTATTTAGCCGTAGATATGCCTCTCGTCTACAAAAAAAACTATCCATACGTTTAAATGAGAGCCATTACGTGATAGGAATTATCTGGCGTTTAGTATAACTTTATGAGTGGGCAGTTAGCACACGGGCCACATATGTGTGTGTTTGTATGCAAGTGCACCTGAATTCTGGCATTTAAACTATAAGTACGATACCTGTGTGTATGTGTGTGGGGAGGGGGAGAGAGTTTGCACCACATATTTGCCATTTTCACTACTACTGGATAATAGTTAGCATAATATAGTTTTTTGTTAAATTATGGCTAAGGAATGGATGGGAAACAAGTATCTTCTGTTAAGTACAGTAGTAGTCGATGCAACTAATAATCCCAAACATATATTATATATATGTAATTAATCATTGACTTCATGTGAAATCACGACTTCTTGAGCGCACACACACT